TTGCGATTGTTACCGAGTTTCTGGGAGTTGGAATGTTCGATGATGTGGGTTTGAAGAAGACCAGGTCGGATTTCTGAGGTTCGTATTTGATATTGAGGGGTGCTGCTTTCTTGACCCTCTCCGCCATTCTTTCATTGAGTCTTTTGGTGATGAAGAGGGGGGATTTGCGAGTTGTACGAGTGCATCATCGTCGATATAGGTGGTGTTGGTTTCTTTGGGGGAGTTGGTGGGGTCTGTTATCACCCCGGCGTATATCATGAATAATACTGGGGAGAGGGGGGAGCCTTGGGGTAGTCCTGAGGCATATGGTTGTGGTGGTTCCAGTTCGTGGTTGAATTGGAATTGGAGTGTTCGGTTGGTGTTGAATTCCTTGCACCAGTTGGTTAGGTATGTTGGGAATTTTTGTTGGGTCATGATTTCTGCGAGTAGGAGGTGGTTGACGCAGTTGAAAGCTCCTTGTATATCATTTGTGAGGAGGGCTGGTCTGTCTGGGGTGGTTCCTGAGTTCGTTTGATTAGGAGGTTTTGTTGTATGGGCGTGAGAGTCCGTAGTAGGGCATCGATCGCTGAGATTGTTGGTCTTCCTCCAAACTGGTCTTTGCTGAGGGTCTCCAGGATGGATCCGGCGGTGCATAGTCTTGTTGCCACTATCTTTTCCAGTACTTTGCTGAAGCATTGTAATAGGGAGATAGGTCGGTAGGCTTTGGCTGACGAATAGTCAGATTTTCCTGGTTTCGGGATCGGTATGCATTTTGCCGCTTTCCATCGATCCGGCTGGACTCCATATCGGAGCATGGCCGAGAACATGTCTTGGAGAGTTGGGTGTTTGCCTTGATTGTTGCCTGTATAAACGGGTATGGGATGTTATCGGGTCCGGTGGCCGAGTGTGTCGGGCATGATCTGATTGCGGATGTAATTTCTTCTGTTGTTACTTCCTGAAAATCGTCACTAAGGTCAAAAGAGGGGGGTCTGATTTGGAGTGGGGGGTTGTCGGGGGACGTCCAATTTGTGGGGAAGAGTTGGGCTCTTAGAGCTTGGCACTTCCCCGCAAACGTTTCTTCACCTTGTATAATTGGGATTGTAGAGTCCCTTCTTTTCCCTGTGTTGACTAGTTTCCAAATGGCGCTTCCCTTGGCTTCCATGAGTTCTTTTTCCCTTTGTTCTGTCTTGGCTTTCCGGATTGCTGCCGTCCATTTCCTGCTGGTCTTCCTGAAAGATTCCCTATCTTCGTCCTTTTGGGTGTTCCTGGCTTTCCTTTCTAGTGTGTTGAGGGTTGATTTAATTTCCTTCAGCTCTGGGGTCCACCATTTTTTGGATTTAAGGTGTCCTTGGCTCCATGGGGTTACTTGATCTATCAGATTGTCTATATGATCGAGTATGAAGTCGACCGATTGCTTTGTGTGGTTCTGGCTTTCCCATGCTTCGGGGGGGAAGTGAAGGCCTGAGATGTTTTTTTCCAGTTTCTCCCAGTTCGTTCGGTGCCATAGTCTTCTGGGGATGTGGGGGGTTTCTCTATTCGTAGTTGCAGGATCGTTTTCCCATGATCAGAACCTGCTCCATATCGGTCGATGTTCCAGCGGACGTCATGGTCCAGTACTGGTCCTTTTACGAGTGTCAGATCGATGATGGTCGGTCTATTGTTGTTCCTGGGGAAATGTGTGAATTCGCCTGGTTCGTTGAGTAGGGATAACTTTTGTCGGTCTATCCATCTTTTAAGCTTCTTGGATCCCGATTTGTCTGCTCTTATCGTATTGGTGTAGTCGTGGGATCTGTGTCCATACCAGAATTGGTGGTGGCTATTGAAGTCTCCCATGACGAGGCAGTTTTGGATGGTGATTATTTGGTGGGAGATTTCTGCAAAAGGTCCGCTTCGCCCTGGTGAGTATATGTTGAGTATTTGTGTTTTTTGGTTCTGAATTTCCACCGTGACGGAGACGATGAAGTTGTTGTGCGTGTAATGGTGTTTTGGTTTTAGGTTGGCATGTTTTCTGATGTATGTGGCGGCTTTGGTGCCCTTGTTGCTGGCTGTGAATAGATAAAAAAGAGGGGATTCCGGTGGGTGGCCGTCCTTATTGTTCCATGGTTCTTGTAACAAAAGAAATAGTATGTTGTGGTCTTGTTCTGCTTCCTCCACTACTGACTTTGTTGTTAGCTCGTTTTTCGCACAGTTCAGTTGCTGTGCGATAGCCGTGGTTCTTTTGATGTGACTCATTGGGTGTTGTCCATGGCTGCGTCTTCTTGTTGGTGTTCTTGGGCCGGGATAACTACGGGAATTGGTAGCGGGCTTGGGTTTGTGTCTGGTCCGAGTCTGTTTGTGATTCGGACTTTGGTTCGTTCCGGGCAGTTGGCGTCTGTTGCTTTGTGGGGGGCTTTGCAGTGGTAGCATCGGATAGGTGTGTGTGAGCATCTGAGGCCTCCGGCGCATTCTGTGCATGGGTGGTCTTTGGTTTGGTGTTCCTCGGCACAGTGTCCGCATCTTCCGCTGTTGGAGCAGCGTTCCTGTCTGTGGCCATATTCGAGGCATTTGGCACACTGGGTTTCTGGGTTTGCTGGGAGGTAACTGTCGATTTTACAGTTCCTATCGAAGAGGGTAAGGTATCGGAGGCCGAGGTTTTCTTTGGTGAATTGTCCGGGGAGGGCGATGATCATGGAGGAGTGGGACTTTCCGATTCGGGCTTCTGGTTTTGATAGCCATCTCGGGATTTGTGCCAGTTCGAAGGTGTTGCCGTAATTGTTTCTTATTTCCGATGCTAGACATTGTCCTGCGTCGAAGGCTTCGCCTATGGATGTGGGGATGCCATGGATGATGAATTTTGACCATCTAGAGTTAATTCGGATGTCGACGAAGGGTACCTTTAGTTCGTTCAGGGCAGTTTCAATTTCCTTTTTGTATTCAAGGACCTTAGTTGCTGGGGTTGCGAATTTTGATTCTAGGATTATGTTGTTCTTGGTTGTTTTCCGGGCGGCAATTAGCTGGCAATCGGGGTCCTGGATTTTTGCATTTATCTTGGTTCTGATGTCCGATGGGGTGATTGTGAGTTCCTTATTGGTTTCGATCACGATTTCCCGGTTAAGTTTGGTGATTTCTGGTTTAAACAGGGGGTCTGCTTTGGCTTTGGTTTTCCTCTTGTTCGTGACAGTCGTGAATTCGGGTTTGTATTTCCTGCCGCGGCGGACGCATATGATTTCGGTGCCGGTGGGGCCAGAGTTTCCTTTGCTTTCCCTTTTTGCTGTTGGGCATGGTTGTGGTGGTTGGGGTTGTTGGCGGGTGTGGTGTGGGCGGTGATGGTGGCAGCCGCGACGGCGGCAATTGCCCCAGTTCTACCTTCAGCGATTGCTTGATTGCTGGGCCTGTTGGTAGAGAGGTTAGTGAGCTGTTGTTGGAGGCGGTGGAGTTTTTCCGATGTTTTGTCCTGGTTCTTTGTCATTTCAAACATTTGTTTGGCCAGGACGTCGACGGTGTGCTTGAGGGAATCGTTTTGGGTGGATAGGACTTCGATAGTGGCTTTTAGGTCCCTGTTGATTTGTTCGGTCGTTTGGTTGAGGGGTTCGAGTGCTACGGTGAGGGCGTTTCTAACTACCCAAGAGATGTAGTTCAAGTCCATTCTGGCGTGGGTTTCTTCAGGAACGATGCTGGGGTGGATATAGTCATATTTTGGGGCGTATGGTTCGTTGTACTGAGTATGTTCGGCGAAGATGGAAAAAGGTTCGTTACCGAGTTGGGTCTGTTCCACTGTGGTGGATTGTGTTTGTTGGGTCGATTGGGTGTCGGGGAAGCGGGGGGTGCCGGGGTTCCTGGAGGGGGAGCCCCTGCGAACCAGGAGCTCAACGAGGCTTGCTGGGACATCACTGATGATCCGGATCGGATTGGGTTTGGGAAGACTTCTGATAGAGTTCTCTTCCTGCCCGCGGTGTTTGGAGGGTTGGGTGGGTTTGGTGAGGCCAGGTTTGTTGTTTTTCGCTACGGTCGCGAGGCTTTAAGCGAGGGTTGAGGGGTGAGGAGATCACAACTCAGGGACTAGAGCGTGAATAACTTCGCGTACGAACAGATGTGCGATAAGATACCAATAGATTACGCGGTCTATTGACATACAGGATCGTGTTCGAGTAAAAGTTTTATCGGAAGGCAGGCCAAAAGTTATTGTTGTTCGAAAGTTTTGGTGTTGCGAGGAGTACAGAAGACGTTGCGTAAGGAAGGAAGAAGAGAAAGGAAACAGGAACGAAGCAAGGGAGAGCCCTCTAATATACCCAAGGAAATCCTGCGATGACTAATCCAGAGTGACTCACACCCCACAACCGGACGGAAACCCATAGAAACCCATAGAAACCTCATTACTAATCCAACTCCGAATAACCTAACGACCCCATCCACCGACCCATGAAACTTCCCTACTGTCGACAATTTTACCAGCAATTTTACCTACGAAGTATATGATTTCGACCGTTTTCCTTGCGCCATTAGTTCGTACATACAGCTTTCATTATTGATTGACAATGTTCTACATGAAAATCATAGGCCCCTGGGAAGGTGTTGGTGAAATTGTCGACAGTACTTCAAAGTAGTACGTATAGGTGCTGGTAAAATTATCAACAATAGGGAAAGAGGTAGGTAAAATCGATTGGAAAAGGGACACTTACCGCTACATCACAAGTATCAACCCCGACCTTCTCACCCCCTCACCACCTCCTTCTCCTACACATCCCTATCCCCTGTAGACTCCGGCAACTCTTTGCAAGCGCAAAAACAACTGGCACCTCCTTCAAGGAAGCTCAATCATTTTGCGACGTTTATTGCAAGCTACAATCAGCATCAGTGCACCTCATTTTGCAGGTTGGCAATACTCACTCCTTTTCAGTCTTCACTTGGTCTTTAATAGCAACACTGCCGAATGCCTCTCTTTTTTTGGGTACCCTGTTACCCTCTCGAATGACAGTTGCGGGAACCTTTACCAACGATGGCGGTGGATCATACTTCCCCGCGGTCCCATTGCCATGACCCCATTAGTTGTCGGGAACACTCGGCTTATTGCCGGTGACAGGTACGTGCGCTGTCTCAAGAGGATGACCGTCCCTTGTACCCTCCAGCACACTATTACTCAACGGGCACGGACGCGGGAGCAATTGTCGTGCCTGAAGGGTAGTGCTAGGAACTGCACTAGACATAGTACCGTACTGTTGTGATTCCTGCTGTGCATGTCCCACGGCCGATTGAGTGGCAGTGAGAATTGTCTTTGATTCCTGCGCCATAAGCTGTGCCAATGTCCTATTTACATACGGTACTTGAGGCTCAGGGATGCTTGAGCACTCAGCCACAAGAGGCAGGTTCATATTTGGTGTACGTTCTTTAGTAACACTAAGTGTCCTGATAGATGTCTGCAATGGGAACGTCACCTTTTTGAACAATGTACAAGGTATTGGGGGTACTGGAAACTGTGACTCACACAAGCCACCGAGAGACTCTGGCGCCCGTGCTGTAGACTGGCCTTTAAACACTGGATATTGTGAGCTTAAATCATCAAACAATAACGTGGCATCATCAGGGGACTACTCTATTACAACTTTTGTTTTCATAACTTGAGATAGAGTTATGTGTCGCTCAACGACCTGAGAGGCAACCTTGTCTATTTCTTCTTGTAACTTGGCCTCAGCTGTTTTGACAAAAGATCTCTCTTCCGCCTCCTCCTCCGAAGACTCTTTCATAAGGTTCTTATATGTATGCTTCCACAGCACCGATAGCATTCTTTTGCCTTTGTTCTGTGAAGCAACCATGTATTGATCGTACTTGTCCTTGTCGCTCAGATGATTTTGAGGGCCTCCCGGAAACTCGTAACGTAAATTGCTATCCTGCCACTGCGCCCGGAACCCCTCATACGACCATACTTTGCAGAAGACGCACATCTTTCCATCACATTTCACATTGTACAGCGCCATGCCATAAGTCATGGGAATCATGATCGTCCCAGAACAAACCCACGCTAGAATGGACTTAAATTACAGCTCCTGGGTCATCAAAGATGCATTGACTGTCGCTATCGAAACCCTCAAGCAATATATCGAACAAAACAACAGCAAAATCAATAGCAGTATCACGGGGCTATGGGCGATGAACTCTAATGCCAAGGAATACAACCAGGACAAGGGCAAGGTGTATAAGTATTCGGAGCTATGGACTATTGGGTAGTTCAACCTGATCAGGGATCAAGGTAAACCCTATAAGGTGACATAGGACCAAGTTATATTCGTAGTGTAAAGTACAGAGTTTGCGTGAGAAGAAAAGGAAAGGAAAGGAAAAAAGAAATGGCACGAGACAATACCCCTTTATATATCCAATACCCTTGTCCGATGATGACTCATACCTTCGCCTAACAGAAACTGAAAGAACATAATAGAAATCCCATTACAAATCCTAAACCCCCTGCGCAATACCTCCTCTTCCTATTCCAATATATTACCTAACTGAACTACGTAGCTGCCATTACAGATTAGGCCCTCCTCTAAGGCCTACCTCCTGGTAGGCTTAGGCTTCTGTGGATAGCGCTCATGGAATCGCTTAACAATATCAGGTGAGTGTTCAAGGTCCGATAGTGGTTGCCAGGATGCTTCGTCATATCCTGTATATCGTACCAAATATTCGAATCTCCCCCTTCGTTTCCTTGAATCTAAAATATCTTCAACTTCCTATTCTTCCTCCCCTTCGATTTCAACCAGGGGGGGCGGCGACTGTTGTTGCACAGGTAAGGGGTTACCTACTTCGGGTGACAATAATGAGACATGAAATACTGGATCTATTTTCATCGACCGGGGGAGCTCTAATTCATAGGGATAGGGATTAATAATCCGCTTAACGCTATACGGTCCAATGCATTTCCAATCGAATTTTTTTGAAGGCCGTTTAGTTAGGATATAGCACGTTGATAGGAAAACCTTGTCTCCTAAGTGATAACGGGGAGCCGGAGTTCGATTTCTATTGGCTGACTCTTCTTGTATCCTTTGCGCCCGAAATATCTCTTCCTTTAGAAAATCCACTATATCTTTCATTTCTCGGGCGATCCGATTAGCTTGATCCTCCGCTGTGGTCTTACCATGTTCCAAAGGACCAAAAGTTATCCTTGGATTTCTCCCCGAATTGGCATAGAAAGGGGAGACTCTTGTTGTCTCCGAAGCATTGTTATTTGTTGCAAACTCAGCCATTGGTAGCAATCAAGCCCAATCGTACTGTTGATAAGATACATAGCTTCGAAGATACTGCTCCATTACGGCATTAATTCTCTCCGTCTGTCCATCCGTCTAGGGATGAAATGCGGTAGAAAACTTCGACGATATCTGTAACCGGTTACACAACGACTTCCAGAATTCCGCAACAAACTGCGTTCCCCGGTCGGATACAATGATGTTAGGTAGTCCATGCAGCTTCCAAACATTATTGATATAAAGCCTTGCCAATTCCTTTGAGTCTGCCTCTTTAGTTGTTGGTATTAGATGTCACATTTTGCTTAATCTATCTACCACAACTAGGATTGCATTGTATCCATCACTCTCAGGGAGGTCTGTAACAAAATGCATCAATATGTCTGTCCACAGTCTATCAGGTGTTCGGATAGGATGGAGTACTCTGTACGGTGTATTGCGTGGTGCTTTGCTACGGGTACACACATTGCAATTCATAACTTACTGGTCGACGTATTTTCGCATTTGTGGCCAGTAATATTCTCGATTCAGAAGTTCCAATGTCTTTGCCCTGCCGGGATGTCCTGCCGCCGGCTTGTCATGATGATCTTTTGGAAGCCTTATCCAAAGGTCATTGTCATCTGGTACATATAGTGCGCCTCGATAGAGTAGTCGACCGTTATCATCTTCCGTGCATTCAGCAAGCGACATTTTATTCGAGTGACGGATGCCATTCCGAAGCATACTAAAAACTGTATTTGGGAAACTATCGACTTGGTAAGCTTTTGAAAATAACTCCTCTACAGTGGACATTCCTTCAGCGGATTCATTTGACAAAGAACCCGCGAACAAACTTAGCTTTTCATCCAAATTTTTCCGTTTCAGAACGACTTGACTCTGATGCACCAGCGTTTCATCCCCCTCTATAGGTAGGTAACCCGACCCTCTAGTCAATGTATCCGGTTTCGCTCCTTGCTTTCCTGGTCGGAATTTTATAAGGAAGTCGAAACGTGAAAGGAATTCGGACCAACGGGCTTGCCGGCGATTTAGTCCCTTTGTGATCATAAAATATTCAAGGTTTCGATGGTCGCTAAAAACTTGGATTGGGAATTGGGCTGCTTCAAGATGATGTCGCCATTCCTCAAAGCATCGTATGATTGCTAAAAGTTCCTTGTCATAGATTTCATAATTACATTCTGCTGGAGAATGTTTTTTGGAAAAGAAAGTGACTGGATGTAAGTCTCCTTCGTTGTCGCGTTGCGATAGGATTCCTGCAGAAACATAATCAGATTCATCAGTTTCTACAACGATCCTCCGATCGGGGTCAAAGTGGGCTAGTATCGCTGCAGTAGTGAACATTCTTTTTAAAGTTTGAAATGCTTCTTCTCTTTCTTCAGTCCATTCGAATTTGATATTCTTTTTGGTTAGGGCTGTGAGTGGGGCAACGATCTTTGAATATCCTAGGGTGAATCGCCGGTAGAAATTAGCAAATCCTAGAAATACTTGGACATCATGAAGATTTTTAGGCGTCGACCATTCTAAAACATCAAGAACTTTCTTCATATCCATTCTATTTTCATTCGGAGTTAGGATAAGACCAAGATATTTAGTTTCTTGAACCATGAATTAACACTTTTCGGAGTTAAGGTGAACATGATTCTCATCAAGCACCTTGAGCACTTTTCGAATGTGTTCTTTGTGTTCCACTAAGGTCTCGGAATAGATGAGAATATCATCTAAGTATGCCGTTATGAACTGGTCGAGATAAGGACGTAGGATATCATTAATACAATGTTGAAACGTAGCAGGGGCATTAGCTAATCCAAACGGTATTACTATATATTCAAAATGTCCATATCTAGTTCGGAATTCCGTTTTCCATTCATCACCCTCCGCTATCCTGATTTGATTATACCCCCAACGCAAATCTAACTTGGTATAGTATCGTGCTCTCGACAACTTACCTAGTCTTTCTTTTAACAATGGTAAAGGATATCGATTTTTGATTGTGATTGCATTTAGGCCTCGATAATCAACGCAGAGTCGAAGGATTCCATCATTTTTCTTTACAAACAGTTTAGGTGCTCCCGCCGGTGATTCACAGGCCCGAATAAATCCTTTGGGTAGATTTTCGTCAAGATAGTCTCGTAGTGCTTTCAGCTCGATTTGAGAAAACCCATATGTAGGTCCATATGGTGGTCGTTTGCCATCTTCTAGTACTATTTCGATGTCATGGGCTGGCCAGTGTGGTGGAAGGACTGAAGCATCATATTCTTTGAACATATGGAGACGGTGATGAAATTCTTTTGGTACTAACTGTTCAATATCAAGGATAGGTTTATCATTTGTTGAATCAATAATCGTATGCTGTTCCGGTAAGGGAATCGATGTAGCATGAACAGTAATTGCCGTTCCGCTAAGTGAACAATGTTGACAACAGTTCTTAGAATTAAAAACGAGTAGGTTTTCCTTTGGTCGAATAGTAACATCATGGTGCCGCATCCAAGGTATCCCCATCACGATTGGGTAGTGTCCTAACTTTGTCACAAAACATGGCGTGATTTCTCGATGACCGTGAATGTCTAGCGAGATATCGACGATGTGGGTAATTTTTCCCGACTTGATAGGTCTGCCGTCTATGACGTCTACATGGCGTGGTATTTTGAGGGGGGTCGTTGTAAGATTATTGTAGCATACAAAGGATTCGTCAATGAAAGCATATCCTGATGCTCCAGTATCAATAAGAGCGTAGGTGGGGATAAAAGAACTTTTATTCTATGAAATCGAACAAGTCACTACACGTTGATTCCCATCTATTTCCTCCTCTGATACCAAAAAACCAGAAACAGACATCTTAGGAAAATCCTTAAATGGTACCTGGGCTAAACCACTTAGTGCAAGGACAAATCTTTTGCCGACTCGTTATCGCTTCAATCATTTTCTTCCACCCTCAATGCCGATCCTCTCATCACCGGCCTTCTTGGTTGATTTCCCATTGCCCTTGCTGGTGGACAATCCCTAACCATATGTCCAACACCTCCACAATAGAAACATGGGCCCTCAGCTAAACGGGCATTTCTTTTGGCAGGGGTTGGACGACGACGTCCCCCAGATAAGTCCATTGGTACATCTCCTCCCGGGCGGAACGAAGAATGATTCTCAGCAGCAGGTGTATTGACAGCAGGGGCGGCAGCACGGGAAGTAGGAACAGGATTCGTTGGTAGGGGACGAGGAACCAGGGTAGGGTTCCAAGGTTTTTTATTCCCTCGCTTGACTTCTGCTGCTCGACGACGATTATCCAACCGTTGCAAAAGTATCGCACAGGCATCTACGGTTGCAGGAGTTTCATGATGTATCATTGATTCATCGAGTTCTGCATTAATAACTTCCATTAAAGCTTCAATCCGAGAGACCTCATCCATCCCTGACTCGACAGCATGCCTTTGAAATTCGGCGAAATAATCATCAAACGTTCGATTTCGTTGACGGATGTTCCTAAGATTCCTCCTAGCCGTGCGCATTTGATCAGGGTCCCCGAAAGCAGTATGCAAGATTTCATAGAATCGTAACATAGAGGGCAGAGGGATGCCCTCTTCCACAACATATTGCAAAAACTGATTAGCGGCAACGCCCTCCAGTCGGCTGAATGCATAGGATAGCTTAGACTGTAGTTTGGGGAAGTGGTCAGCATTTCCCAATAGCTTAATCCTCATCTGTTGCTTAAATAGGTGTAATCTTTCTCGATCGCGATCTCCCCTAAACACCTCAGGATCTGGGAGCTTTTC